GAAATACTAAATAGGCAATAGATAAGTGGTATCTTTGGTGAAAGGTGAGACAGTACACAATACTGGGGAAACCAGCACAACTTGTCCAAGCCAAGGCCATGGAAGCTCCATAGACACATCCAAACTCCCTGTGGGACTGAATTGCTGGGCAGAGGGCTGTGGGGACCATGGTCTCGGGGAACATCTAGCTCAATTGGCATAATACAGTTTAAAGAGAGTGTTCTACTTTCTACCTTGGCAAGTAGCGTCTGCGGTCTTAAAAGCCTGTGAGCAGCCATCTAAGACACTCCTCTGGTCTCATACCTTCCGGAGCAAGGGATAATGAACAGAACAGGATACAAGGAAAAGATTAGTCCAAAGGACTAACCGACTACAGCTACCAAGGCCTCCACCAGACTGAGTCCAGTACAGCTAGTTAGTGCCCAGCTACCACCACTGACTGCTCTGACCGGGATCAAAACAGAGGGTTCTGAACAGAGCTGGAGAAGGATGTAGAACATAATTCTAACTTACAAAAAAAAGACCAGATTTACTAGCCTAAAGGAGACTGGAGAAACACTGAGAGTATGGCCCCCAGACACCCTTTTAGCTCAGTGGTGAAGTCGCTTCCAAGGTTCACCGTTCAGCCGGAGATTGGACAGCCACTTAAAACCAAACAGGACTAATGAGGCACAGCAGTCCAGGGACAAGGACTAGAAGGCAGAAGGGGACAGGAAAGCTGGTGATAGGGAACCCAAGGTTGAGTAGGAACAGTGTTGACATGTAGTGGGGTTGTTAACCATTGTCATAGGGCAACATGTGTACTAACTGTTTAATGAGAAACTATTTTGTTCTGTAAACCTCCGTCTGAAGTGAGAATAGCAGCACAACTGGAAGAACGTAATCGATGTCACTGAATTGTGCATGTAGAAATTTTTGAAATGGTGTATCTTTGGTTATGTATATTTTCACCAAAAAAAAAAAAAAAAGTCGAGAAGGGAGTGCGTTGACATGTTGTGAGGTTGTTAACTAATGTTATAAAACAATATTTGTACCGAATGTTTAATAAGAAACTATTTGTTCTGTAAATCTTCACCTAAAGTACAATTAAAAAAAAAAAAGAAACTGCCAATCTAGATTACTTGCTGTATTACAGATATTATCAGATGGGGACTTTGGCACGGGGAAGCAATACAGAAGCCAAATGTGAGACTTTATTAATTTCACAACAGTGGTGACCCTTGAAAATATAGCTTTTAGTCTATAGGGAGAGGCTAATTAAAATCATGCATAAACCAAAGAGGGAATGGAAGGAGCAAAAGATGGGTATGTGCAGCCCTCACAGGCCTATCTGTATTAAGCATTGCTTGCTTTCTCTCCTTTAATGGAATAAAATCAACAGACCCATATTTCCTCTGCGGATCTTTCCTTGTTCCTTCCTCTGGTTTTGGCAGCCTGCCCCCAAAGCTCAGACCTCCAATCTGTGAGCAAACAGATCATGCTCTTACTAACCTGGTTTCCTTTCCTCCTCCTCCTCTGTAGATCCACAAGATGCATTCTTTCTTGGACTACATCATGGGTGGTTGCCAAATCCAGTTTACAGTAAGTTGTCTCCACATTTGTTCTTATTCAGGGAGCAAGGGGTGGAAAACAGTGTTAGGGTTGCGGCAAAACAAGGGAAAAAACCTATTAAGACCCTAGTCAACTTTGTTCAAGTCTTACTGATGAAATACTGTATAGTATCATGTTTGTTTTTAAAATGAGTCTACACTCCTATTTTCTCCTGTGAGTATGGTTTTCAATGACATATCAGGAAATTCATGCCACCCAACTATATGTGACTTGAGAAACACTCCTAATTCTTTTAGTAACTATATGACGCATGAGCTAGGGTATAGATTGCCAGATCCCATCCCCTGGTCAGGAGCATAAGAAGGAAGTGAACCTTGCTAATCAGTCCTACCAAGCCAAGCAAGATGCCTCTAGTTTGTGTTCATGTGGCCAGAACACAAACATCAAAGTTATGGCTAAGGGTCAGTGCCAAGGAAAACCATCCAAATGTTTCTTTGAGCAACGAAAGGTAAATTCCGAAGATTGAAGAGCCAGGTTGAAATCAAGGTTGAGAAGTAGAACTGGTATATAGACTCAGTGGATAGTTTGAGGATTCTGTCCTATAATCTGTGAGCCCAAGATATTTATACTCTCCTAACGTGTATTTGGAGCCCTGGTGGTGCAGTGATTAAGAGCTACGGCTGCTAACCAAAAGGTCAGCAGTTCGAATCCTCCAGCCACTCCTTGGAAACCCTATGGAGAAGTTCTACCCTGTCCTATAGGGTCACTATGAGTGGGAATTGACTCGATGGCAATGGGTTTGGTTTGGTTTGGGTAATGTGTATGTGGGTGGGCGGGCTGGGTCTTTTTAAAGTGCCCAGGTGGGCCATGTGTGTGTGTCAGAGATTTTGTGTCCGTTGTCCCTGACCCAATTTGCTTTCACAGACTTAATATTCAAAATACTACTAGGTTTGAGCAGATGTGACCTCCAGAAACAGAATCTCCAGATGGCAGAAGATAAATCTGCTAAAACCCATGAGAAATGGACATGGATGTAAACAATTTGTATGGCATGTTTCTCATCTTGCAGAAGTGCATGCAGGAAGCTCAGCCCTGTTTAGCTCCCTAGATAGGCTCAGTCATGTGAGGAAAGCAAGGAAAATCGGTTTAATTTTTGTCCGGATTTGATCCCAGGGGAATAGACTGGACCAATGTATTCTTCGGCCCAGGGATGGTAATGCTTCAAGGACTAAAAGGGGGAGTTCCAAAGGGAAAGAGATAAGGGGCTGTTTAATGGGCCAGCCTCTCCCTAGCTAGAGGTTTGTCCTCTGCTCTAATCTCATAGGGTTCTACCTCCATCCTGCCTAAACTCAGGGCATTTCATTTACCCCTAATACTTACAGGAGTTAATTATAGAGTTGGACAATTTCTTTAAAGACTAAGGTTCTTTAATGACAACTCATCCCATCTTCCTGCACGCACACTGGCACATACAGAAGGAGAAAGCATATTCATTGCAGGCACACACACCTGGCTCTACCTGGCCTGTGGGCTCATCACTGCTCTGGGTGTATGCAGATGGAAGTAGAGAAGATAGCAATGTCATCAAGGAGAGCTACAAGAAATAGTTTCCCAAGACTGTAGGCAAAGGAGTGATTTCAGGAAACTATTTATAGGTTTTCAGGGGAAAGCTCTATTGATTTGAGTCTGTTTTAGATTCTATAGATCCCATGCTCTTGAACAGCTCTTTATTCAACCTTCAGAGGCTTGATTTGTCCTTGGAGTGGTGTGGCAAATAATCGACCCCAACTAAAACCAGAGATTTAACCCCAGAGGGACCCTAGCTCCACATCTTGACTCACAGATGTCTGTGTGGCCTACCTGACATAGACGATTGCCCTCCCTGCTTCACTTTCCCCCTCTTTCTCACTTTTGCTGACCTGCCCCACTGGAAGTTACCACCTCAGGGATTCTCACCTCCCCACCCCAGTCACAGCTTCTCAGCTCCCCCCGGTGCCCACTGATGGACCTGTGGTGGGTGGACGGGGGAGAGCAGTGTGTAGCAAGGAATGAGAAGAGGAGGAGTGTGTTAGATGGATGCTAAAGAGATAGGGGCAGACCATCAACAGTGCCTGCCCGAAGCCCTTCCTCCTGTAGGGGTTCAGGCTAGGGACTCAGAAGAGTGTTGCTATATATTCTATTTTGAGCTTTATATTAAAGAAAAAAATACCTGTCATTTCAACATCATTTTCCTCCAAAATTAAGTCAGCTTTCTCATTATTAATTTCTTATTGCTCAATCAATGCAAGCTAATGTAAATTATAAGCTATAATACAAACTGTTAATAAAAATTAGTATGTCTTGTTTAATTTCATCTATAAGTGTTTATTATCTGCCCAGTATTTTTACTGAAACCACTGGCAACACAAAAAAGTGGCAGAAATGAGAAGTGAGGAAAAGAGGGCTTCCTCACATGGAGATAAGCAGAGGGGAGAGAATAAAAAGGGTGTTTTGTTGCAGTTGTTGCACCTCTGAGGCCTGTAGAAGCTTCCATGGGCTCATAACATGATCCCTGGCTCCTCAGCAAGCCAGTAGCTTTAGCCAAGACTAACTTTCTGTCTCCCTGGAAGAAGACCTCCAAGAGCCAGAGGTGACATAAAGTTCTGGAAATTCTCCATTTCCTCCTCCAGATCTACTCTTCACCCCTCTTCCTCCCTCCTCTGTGCCAGGAGGCCAGCCTCTTTGGATACCACAGCTGGACTCCCCTGCCCTTAGCTTTTGGTTGGGTTTGGCCAATGGGAAGCACCAGCCAGAGATCAGAGAATGGGAGGAGAGAGAGAAGTTGGGACACGTATTCCCCCAACTCTTTGCCTGTCTGGCTGTGGTTAGGCAGTGACTGTAGAGACTCTATAGAAGGCCACAGCTCCTGCTAGGTGTTCTCTCCTCAGATACTACTCTTACTAAGTCCTAGGAATTGTTTCTTCCCCCTCTCTCTCGTCATTTTCCCTTTGTCTTTTGTGAATTGCCCCTTTATTAAACTCTCCTCAATCACCTCTCTTGAGTGGCCATTGGTTTCCTGTCCAGACACTGACCAATGCACATTACAAACAAGAGTTAGGAGAAAGCCTTTGCGTCTTCCACAGATGCTGGGTGCCTCTGGTCTAGCCTTGAGTGTTAAAGATGGGACATCATTCTCTTCAGATACCAGGATGATGTGTAGTAGGTATTCAAGATACTTTTGTTGAATTGTGATGAATTGAACCCTAAACCTTAAAGAGGAGTTAGGTTTAGGAAAAATAAGAAATTAGGAGAGTAAATATGATACTAGATTTTTGCTTTAAAAAGCACCCCATGAACATAAATATTCATACATCTATATCCCTGGTGGCCCAGTGGTTAAGCACTCAGCTGCTAACTGAAAGGTTAACAGTTCAAACCCATCAGCCACTCTGTGGGAGAAAGATGTGGCAGTCGGCTTCCATAAAGATTTACAGCTTTGAAACCATATGGGGCAGTTCTACTCTGTTCTATAGGGTCACTATTAGTCGGAACTGACTCAATGGCAACAGGATTTTTATATATATGTATATATATTCTAACAATAAATGCGAAACCTTGCTTGGGTTAATACCAATAAACAGATATATTTGGAGGAGTTTTAGGGAAGTGGTTTGGGATCAGAACTTGAAAGTCTTTGAAAACCAGACTAGCGAATTTTGAGGTAATTTGATGGATATGGGAAAGTTCAGAAGAATCTTGAGCAGGGCGTTGAGGCCTTGCTCAGTCTTGTGCTTTGGGGAAGTAAATCTGAGCATTTGGTGAAAGGCATGGATAATGGTGAAGGTAGTCTGAAAGAAGAAGCAAGAGGAGATAACACCCACTGCAACTGTCCTGGTGACAGTAATAAGAGTTTAAAAAGTCTAGAGTGGTAGCAGTAGGAAGAGGCATTGTGGGAAGAGAGTCGATAAGCCTTGGCCTATGATACAACATGGAGACTGAAAGCAAGGAGAGCCATGAGTCCAGAATGACTCAAAGTGTTTGTGCCTGCTGGACAGAGCATGGTGGTCCTATTCATGGATATGTGACCATTACAAAAATCTGCACTTTTGAGGGACAAGATGATGAATTTGTTTTTGGACATGTTGGAGGTACTTTCAGGTATCCAGTGGAGATGGCACTTAAAAATATGGACCTAGATTTCAGGAGGGAGGTGGGGGTTGCATATATATGGACCTGAATGAGATGGCTAAAGAGAAGAATTCTGATGACAGAAAATGGTAAACGACCTCTATTTGACGTCGAGGGAAAGAATGGCAAAGCAATAAGAGAAGAGAAAGAGAAGAAGGTCCAGGAGCGGGCAGTAACTAAAATGCCCAGAGAGGAAAAGGTTACAAGATGGAGGGCAATAATCCCATACACTCAAGAGAAGTCAAAGGGTGAAGAGTAAAAAGCAATGGTTAACTTGTTTGATGCATAGGTGTTGCATCTTTGAAAGAGCAATTTTAGCAGAATGAGATGGGAGAGGCCAAATATTTAAGATATAAACAAGGGTAAGGGAATGAACACAATGGGTATAAATATTTTATTCAAGAAGGTTGACAGTGAAGGGAAGGCAAGAGTGGAAAAGCAGTGTGGCAATTTGAGGATTACATAAGAAAGATTCTAGGCTAGAATCTGACCATAAGCAGGGGAGAAGACACAGTGGAGGGAAAGAGATAAGTGATGTTAAAAAGAGCCCTAGTCAATGATTTTTATTCTTTTTTGGTAACCTGGATGATCTGAGAACCTGATACATGACATGTATGTTCTCGCTAGAAAATGCACGCACACAATTTTAGGAGGTCAAGGACACCCCTAAGGATAATCCTTATGGCTCATGTGAATCCTTGAGTCTTCACAACTCTAGAGCAACTCTTGCATCACAGTCTTGGAGGAGGTAGGTGGAGGTGAAACAGAGACTACAGGGAGAAAGATTTGGTTCAATATGTTTGGCGCATGGCACAGCAACTAAAAATAAAACCAGATACTAGAATTCCACACACACACCAAAT